TAGTTATAAGCGTTTTTTGACGAACGAATTTTTTAGTTAATTTTTGTGCAATGGATTTGCAGAAAGAGTTTTTTTTTTATATTAAAGTGAATACTTAATTTTTCAAATTTTCATTATAGTGTTTATAAATTTTAAAGAATTTATCAAACCAATTTTCAAGAATTGCTCTATGTGATTTAAAGGATTTATAAAATTTGAACATTAAACTTAACACTTGAGGGTTGACAACTTGTTTATTACTTTAAGTCACCACTCTTCTAAATTCAGTAATTATAGAAATTATAAAATTAGTAAATAATAATAAAATGATTTTTTGTATAATCTAACAACTATAATTACATATAAATTAATTCTTAATATTATAAAGAAATTTTAGATTTACAAAAATAAAATACTTCAATAGAAGAAAAGATTGTATGTCTTGTTAGATCAGAAAATAAAACCAAGTTTTTGAAGAACTTACTGAATTTGTAAGAAAAAGTAATAAATTTTTAGCTAATTATTTGTGAGCATATTAAAAATAACTATATATTTAGTAGAATTTAGTTAAAGTATAATATTCAGTATTAAGTGAAATTGCATTAAAATTACTCTCAATATCTGCAATTTTAGCTGCCAGTAAATAATACTGGTCAGTCTTTAATTTTGTTTATACAAAATTACATAATCATTTACTTAATTCTTGTATAAAAAATTGTAAATATTTACTAAAATCTACAGGCATTATATTTATTAAAATGGCTAATTTCAGTAAATGAATTAAAAAAAAAGATATTTGATTGAAGATAATATTACCAATTAAAAACTTTAGATATATTACATACAGTATATCTAAAAAATAACAACATAATATACTGGTACTTTAATTACGGATATAAACAATTAGGTTAATATTTAAGGGTGGTGCACATTTTCGCCTACAATCACTTCACCGACAGCCAATTCAACGACGAGTTTATTTTACCGACAGTTATTTCATCGACAGTCATTTCACCGACAAAGTAATTCTGGTCATTTTCGTTAGGGTCAGATTAAAAACTTGTCGATGAATTGATTATCGGTGAAAATGGGCTGTTGGTGAATTGATTATCGGTGAAAATGGGCTGTCGGTTAATTGAAATGACATGAATCCATATTTAAGTAGTAAAGGACTTCAATTTTTGTAGTAAAAATTAAAGAGAATTACTATTAATTTTATATAATGTTGGAATGCTAAAAGTTTTTAGAAATAAGTAAAATAATATGTAGTCAACTCTAATCACTTATATTAATCGTATGCGACATGCTCACCGGCTCTATTGATTAACCTGTAATTTCCTATAATTTAATATATACAAGCCAGTCGAGCTGTTTTGCATCACGACCAATATTTTGTATTCAGTTACATCACACACACACACACATCACACATACACATCGCACACACACATCACACAAATCACATGAAATAAAAATTCAAAACATGGTACACACCCAATATAGAATCATAACAATCAAATATAACCATTTTTTTTTTTTGTAAAACATTATAAGAGCAAACAACAATCGACTCGATTTATGCAGTACATCCGATTCCTTGCATTAAAGTCTATAGAAATTTGTATTTGTATTTATTGAAGATTAAAAAACAAAGATAAAACAAAGATTAAAATAATACATAGTACATAATTAAATCTATACGGGATTCTATATCCATTGTATACCGAAGAAATTTAATGGAACAGCATACGTCATGTGAAACAATTTTTTATCATAAGCATAAAAAAATTTTTTTAATCTATTCCATAAATTATAAGTCTCTCTTTAAGATTTTTTTTGGCCAAAGAATAAACTGTCTTTTCATTATGATCACATTTTCTCCATATCATGAATGCGGCTTTTTCTAATACCTGTGGATTTTCTTCGCCAAATTGTTTTCCTTCTCTTTCCACATTCACTTTGAATAGACCATATGCCATTATTTTTTGAATATTCTTTCGAGAGTTTCCATTAATTGGAGCAATTAAATTAACATATTGGTCAAGATCGGTCTGATTTAGGATAGGTGGTAGAACCCTCTGTCTAACAGACGGATTTTGTAAAATATTTGCAGAAAGATTAGAAGCTCTTGAGAGGATTTCACTCAGGCTTACATTCATGATTTTTGTAAGTTTATGTTTATACTTTAATAATTTTAAAGAAAAGCCAAGTCTTTTTTTTTCTTCACTGACAATGTAACTTAAATGATATTTAGTAAGATTGAAAAAATTGGCTTGCTTATTTATATATTAAAAAACTTTACGATTTTTTGTTTATTTTTTTTCCATTAAGTTTTATTAATGACATAATTTTAATTTCGATGAATGAATCATTGTCAATGTCTTAGCTCCGTTTCCGTAACGTAGTATCGCACTTGTTTTTATTATTTAAGTGGCGTCAAAAGTTAATAAATCACATCAATAAGAAAAACTCCGAATACATACTGTATATTACATATTTTAATGATCAAAATGTCAAAATTAGTATAAAGCTGTTAATACTGTATGGGTTTAAATGTTATACCAGTAAAGCGACTTCTAAAAAGAGGCAGCTTTAAAAGCATCATATCTAACTCTTTTTTAGGAATATTGGCTTTTTTTTGAACGAATCAAATATGACATAACACAAGCGAGTTATTATAATTAACTCATTTTAAATTTAACGCGTACAAATTTATTTTGTAAAAGCAATCTGTTTTAGGTTTTTGTTTTTTTTTAGAAATTTCGAATGATTGGTTCGGAGGAGTTAAAGTCGCGTATGTAAGTATATAATATTATTCTCATTACAAATAAAAAACACGTGGTAACAGATTTATTCTGTTACACTAAATTAATTAAAATGTAACAGTAAATATTTATGCGTATGTAATGATATCATTGTTAATTTTAATTGTGAATGCATTGCAAAATTACGCTTAGTGTACGTGTATTACATATATTCTAAGCATGTTTTTCACTAGTAATTGAACCCTGAATATCCACGGATGGATGGACGGACGGACAGGGACACGAAAATCCATCCTTTACACCGTTTCGCAGGCAAATTGCCTGTGAGTTGCATTTTCTCGGCAAATTATAATCTAAGAGTACATGTTATCCTTCTTAGCACACAGTCTTTCTATCCTTTTATTTCCTCGGTCACTTTTTAAAAATTTCATTCTCGTACTACCTCAAAATGTCCGACATGTCTAAATATTAATAATCTTCGGACTTTTGATGTATTGTTGCCGACATAACTGCAAGAAATTTTAGGGAGCTAAAAACGTGAAGAAGGTTAAGTATCTATGTACCGACAAAGTAAAAGATAATACAAAATTTGTTCCATCGGTTTTGTATAATTTTGGGGATGCCTAAAACGGAGATAACTTATACAAATTAAATAAAATTATTAGTTTATTTAAATTAACTTTAGGGTCAGGTCCGTTTTAGATTGAGTTAGGTTAGGTCTAGGCATACCTTAAAACAGGTTCAGTTTGGTATTTTTCTGGTTTCACTTTATTTGCTTCGAATTTTCCACAATTTGATTGGTTTGTTGTCATGTGATTTACCTCCGCTTTAGAAACCTATATTTGGTATACCAATCTACGTAACGAGTATCACAAATTATCTTGAACGAAATAAAAATTATAACATATTATCTTTTGAAGCCGAAAATATTGGAAAAATAATTTAGATTTTATTTTAGAATTTATTATAATTCGTTCCATTATAATTTCATTTAATACATTGTATTTTAAATTTTCTACTCCTTTAAGCGCAATTTAGACATAATGATTTTTAGAAAAATTATGCTTGCCACGAATCTGAAACCTTACTCCTATGTTATATTAGCAACATGAAAGTGAAATACGTCTATATGAATGTCGCCATATGAAACATGAAATTCTAAAAATAGATACTGTAATTATGAATTTCATAATCATTTATTGTTGTTTCATTTGGCGACATCTATATATTAAACCGATTAAAAAAAAAGGTCTAGACCAAAGTCATTATTTAACATATTGGAGTATATGGAATGAGTCAATAGAAATCAAGCAAATCTTTTATAATAAAAAAATTGTTGCAACTTTGAACAAGAATAACTTATTACAAAATCTTATTCAAATTTATAAATAAATTTTATAAACTTGTACAATTAATTTAGTTAAATTATTCTTTCAAAAAATTTTATTAAAAAAAGATTCGCTTTGTTTCTATTGACTTACCCCATATTGTCATCCAGCTATAAATTTAATATATATACTTCCAGCCCTGTTATAAAATATAATATTATAAATACAGTAAAACTTTATTATTATTATACTGTATAGTTGTCACCAAGACAGACAATGAAGTTAGCAATATATTAAATAATAGCTGGTTTAATAAATTTGATAACGCTGGTGTCTGAATGACTTTCTAGTAGACTTTGCGTTTAGTTTCTTTTTTTATTCAGTTTACAGTTTAATATATACAAATTCGTGTGCTTTTTTTTTAGATTTATAAGGTCGTCATACTGATTGTGAGATACGTTGCAATGTGATTCTTTTATCCATGATGCTTTTCACTCTAAAATAGAGTTATATTTATATATTTCTTATGATAAAGAGAAATCCTTTATGACAATAATAAAACAGATTATATTTAATTTCGGAATAAATTCAATGCAATTCTAGAGTAATGCGAATAATGTAGAAAAACTTTAATATTAACTTCAAACTGGAGTTAAGTATTAAACGTCACTTCTCTCGTTACCGTGTAATTATGATATATGTAACGTCCGTGTCGTACATTTTTTGATGTCCAAGGCCTTTTTCACCATGTTCAACGTCCAAATTCAAGAATGTTTTGTTTCATTAAGTTTTAAAAAATAATTCATTAAAATTAAAAAAAATCTGATTGTATCTTTAACGAATATTGCATGAAATGGAGTAAAAGGAAAAATCTCTCCGTACACGATGTACGTCGACTTAAATATATGGAACAGTAATCATGTGAGCGTAACCTTCGAGGAACGCTCCTTGTCCCATAAAATTTGATCGAATTTTAAGATCGGGTGTAACGTAAAAATCGAAACCACTTTTTTACAAAAAACAAGTTTACACAGCCCACCCCCGAGAAATTTCCCCAAACGTCATTATTATGGTTAGGTTTGGGTTAGAGAAGAATTTAACATAAACTAAAATTTTGCGATGAATTTTTTTTATTAGAACATCGAATATACGAGTTATTCGAAGTGTCAGAGGTAAAACCGACACCTCATAGAGCCTGCAAAATGGACGTCATTGTGGCATACTTACCTAATTAGAGTT